TATCAAGGCCATTATCGATTAAAATCGTCACAGCACAACACGAGATATTGCAGAGAAGCTCAATGTGTCGCATACATGCATTGAAAAAAAATTAAAAACCCTTGGTTATGTCAAGAAACTTGATTTATGGATCCCTCACCAGCAGTTAAAGGAAATTCATTTGACGCAACGGATTAGCATCTGTGATTCGCTACTGAAACGCACTGAGAATGATCCATTTCTGAAGAACCTAGTTACTGGCGACGAAAAGTGGATAGTTTATAACAATGTTACTCGCAAGAGATCATGGGTGAAGCAGGATCAACCAGCCCAAACAGTATCAAAAGCAGAGATTCTTAATAAAAGATAATGCTGTCGGTCTGGTGGGATCACAAAGGAATTTTGTATTTTGAACTCATGCCGCAGAACCAAACGATAAATTCAAATGTGTATGTTGAAGAACTCGAAAAACTGAAAGAAGGATGCAATTGAAGATAAGCGGCCGGCATTATCAAATCGGAAAGGTGTTGTTTCCCATAATGATAACGCAAGGAACCACACATCTTTGGTTACTCGGCAAAAATTATAGGAACTAGGTTGGGATGTTTTGTCACATCCACCATATAGCCCTGAACTTGCGCCTTTGGATTACCATTTGTTACGTTCCATGCAAAACTCTTTAAATGGTAAAATTTTTAACAACGCGGATGATGTCGGATCACACCTAATTCAGTTTTTTAAAAGCAAAGACCAGACATTTTACGAACAAGGAATTTTTACTCTGCCAGAACGATGGGAAAAGGTCATCGACAAGAACGGCCAATATCTAATTGAATAAAGTTATATTTTAAAACAAAAATTCCGAATTTGCCATCTTATTTGAAATTGGCAATGACTTAGTTGCCAACCTAATACAAGCCTGGAGATGGCAATCAGCTGTCCTAAGACAAGCAATTTTACAAGCTAAACGGACTTTCTTCGACAAGTTCATATCAAATACCAACTATCAAAGTGATAACGAAAGCACTTTTTAATTCCTGAGTAACCTCCAAAACAACAAGGAAAGACCCAAGAAAGAACCATTAAAAAACAAACTACCGACTTCAAAATAACTTACTGCCTTGCGAGGTTCTATTTCCACAAACAAAAGAAAAACCCTTTTGTCAGAAAATCTTCAAGAGATTTAGAGATAGAAGTAAGACAGTTTAGTGAAAATAAGGAAGACATGGCAACACCGAATGATGTACTAACTGAACCATTCAGACCCTTCAAACTTAATGTTGCGATAGAACAGCTAAAGCGAAAAAGTTCTCCTGGTGAAGACGGTATTCAACCGGAAATTCTAATCAGAATAGGACTAAAGCCAAGGAAATCATTCTGACGCTTTTAACAAAATCTGGGAGACCAGTCCCGTTCCTAACCAATTAAAAGTTGCCATAGTGAAACCAGTACTAAAAAATGGCAAAGACAGTAGCAGTATTTAGTCTGCTTTCGATGATTTCAAATCAGCATATGACTTAGTCTGGAAAGAGAAGCTATTTCTAAAATTGGGAAAGATTGGTTTTAAGCATAACATGCTAAACTGGATAAACACATTCAATAGACAAAGATCATGAAAGGTCAGATATGGAAATGCTCTATCAAAATGCAATCTTTTACAAACAGGTCTTTCACAGGGAGCTGTCACAGCCTTACAAACAGGCCTTCCACAGGGAGCTGTCACAAGCTGCATACAGGCCTTCCACAGGGAGCTGTCACAAGCTGCACTCTTTTTTCCACAGGGAGCTGTCACAACCTGCACTCTTTTCAATGTTGACAGGGAGCTGTCACAAGCTGCACTCTTTTCAATGTCTTCATCGATACAGACAGTCACGGGCATCTAGTGCTTGCTCTATGCAGATGATCTTGTTCTATGGTATTCCGACTCTAAGGAGTGGACGAAAGTGCTCTTAGTAGGGCAATTGAACTACTAGCAAACTGGTGCGACAGCAATGGAATGGTAATCAACACTGCAAAAACTGCATTGCAAACTTTTTCTTTGGCCCATCACAGCATAAACCCGCTCTTAAGGTACAAGGATACTACCATAGAAAAAACCAATTTGTTCACATATACCGGAATGACTTTTGACACAAAGCTAACGTGGAAAAGTCACATTGCTAAAATAGCAGAACGAGTCTCCAATAGACTGAATGTACTGAAGCGTCTTGCTGATAGCGTATGGGGCTGTGCACGCTCAACTCTAAACACCATTTACAAGATGTTTATTCAGCCAATAATAATGTATTGCTGTGAGCCACTAATTTCAGCCACAGAGGTGACCCTCAAACCACTCGAGAAGGCACACAACCAAGCATTACGACAAATCATTGGAGGGATAAAATCACCAAATCAAGCATTACAACTAATTACTGGAGGGATAAAATCAACACTCATCCATAATTACGACCAATTACTGGAGGGATAAAATCAACACCCATTGAGGCAATGCTCTAGTTACAGGAAGACACCACAATAGGCTCCCTTATCAAGAAGGTTACGGGACACTCCACAATATGTTCCCTTATCAAAGAAAAGGCCTTGATCCTAAACAGTATGTTCAATAATCAAAGAGAAGGCCTTGATGTTGTATGAGATGCTATTGCGCATTCACATGTATAAGTTCTTCAGCACCTATGTAAATAGACCAAGACATCTAAAAACGCAATCTGGTCTAATACTATAGACCAAGACATCTAAAAACGCAATCTGGTCTAATACAGGAAGACATAGAAATGAAGCAAGCATTACAATAGATAGTAAAAAAGCCTTACTGTATAGATGAAC